TTTGTGAGAGTTTTCTGGATGGATCTTGCATGCAAATACCATATAGTTTCTTCCACCTTTATGAACCTAGTTTCCTTTCCTTTTTTTTTTTTTTTAAAGATTTTATTTATTTGAGAGAGAGCAAACTAGAGCAAGAGAAAGAGAGCATGAGCCAGAGAAGGAGCAGAGGCAGAGGGAGAAGCAGGCTCCCCACATAGCAAGGAGCCCGATGCGGGACTAGATCCCAGGACCCCGGGATCATGACCCGAGCCGAAGGCAGACGCTTAACCGACTGAGCCTTTAGTTTCTTTTTCTATTGACACTGAAGTTGTTACTATCTTTTTTTCCTTCCATATTTTCTTATTTACAGCAAGGGTGGGGGCTTTTTCTGTCATATTCTTATAACCCCATTTATTAAAGAACTTGAACCATATTCTCCTAGGACAAAATCAAAGGGTATTGGAGGTGTATCATATACTGTTATTCTCCAAAGATTCTCCCTGCCAACAATGAACATTTCCTTCAGGAAAATGTCCAGAGATGTGTTCTATTTTACCCTCAAGGTAAAGTTCACAGACAACCTACAACACCCTCTGAAAGGCTGGGGCAAGAGCATGTTGATTTAAGAGTCTGATTTTCTTAGGTCCCAATAATTTATCCCACCCTCTTCACTATTTTCATAAGGGCTACCTGTTGACCTAATCCAAAGTGTTTCAGGTAAGTGTACTCCTGAGTAGATACACATAAAAGTATTCTTAGGCTCACTTACATAGTTTCAAAATTTAAATTGCTATCTACATTATAGAAACATGGAGAATTAGATATAAAAGGGCCTTTAAACATCATTTACTTTAACATTCTCATTTTAAAGATAAGTCACAAAAATACGAGTGCTGTTTATGACCAGGTTTGGAACACGAACACATACTTCTCAAAAGCAGGGTCACCACTCTGCACTAAGACATGTGCCTCAGTGTAAAATACAGACTTTAATCACAGCAAGATCGTGATATCCATGAATCATTGATTTTAGTGCAATCATACATATGTAACAGTGCAAAAGTGAGAGAACACTTGCTGGGAACCAAGAAAAGGAAGCTCTTATTGCATGAACCACTTTGTACTACCGCCAATGATTTACAGGACAGTAACACAATGTAATGATAATGTAGCAGAGAGGGATGCCAGCAAGATGGTGGACTAAGAAGTTTCAGGTCCTAATTCCCTCACTGAAACATTAACACACACACACACACACACACACAACCAAGACTGAATCATGAAGAAATACATCTGAATAAATCTATAATGAACAGGTTGAATCAGGAATCAAACCTCCCAACAAAGAAAAGCCCAGGACCAGATGGTGTCTTCCATGAATTCTACCAAACAGTTAAAAAAGAATTAAGCCAATCCTTTTCAACTTCTTCCAAAAAACTGAAAAGGAAACACTTCTGCTATAGATTGACTGTGTCCCCCCAAAATTCACATGTAGAAACTCTAACCTCCAAGGTGATGGTATTAAAAGCTGGGGTCCTTGAAAGGTGATTAGGTCATGATGGTGGAGACCTTGTGAATGGGATTAGTGCCTTTATAAAGGAGAACCACAGAGCTCCCTCATCCTTCCAGTGTCGGGACATAATGAGAAGGTGCTGGTTATGAACCAGAAAGAGGACCCTTGCCAGACACTGAATCTTCTGGCACCTTGACCTTGGATTTTCCAGTCTCAAGAACTGTAAGAAATAAGTTTCTGTTGTTTACAAGCCACCAGTTTATGGTATTTTTGTTACAGCAGCCTGAACTAACTCATTCCATGCAGCTAGCATTAACCTATCAAAGCCAGACAAAGAAAAACAGCAACAACAAAACTATAGACCAATTATTTCTCATGAACACTGATACAAGAATCTTCAACAAAATACCATCAAACCAAAATTCAAGAATATATTAAGAGAACTATTCACAAACCAAGTAGGATTTATTCCTGGAATGCAAAAATGGTTTAACATATGAAAATCAAACAATGACATACACCACATTAACAGAATGAAAGCAAAAAACCCATGACTATCTCCATTGATGCAAAAAAAAACACCTTTTGACAGAATAAAACAATCCTTCCTGATAAAAGCACTCAACAAACTAGGAATAGAAGAAAACTTTCTAACATATTAAAGGCCATATATGAAAAACACAAGGCAACCATCATATTCAAGTGTAAAAACGTGAAAGCTTTTCTTCTAAGATCAGGAACAAGGCAAGGATCCCCACTCATCCCACTCTTATTAAACATAGTAATGTTAAGGCCTAGCCAGAGTAATGAGACAAGAAAAAGAAATAAAAGGTATCTAAATAAAAGAGGAAGCAGTAAAATGATCTTTGTTCACAGATGACATATCCTTATATGCAGAAACCCCTAAAGATTCCACACACACAAAAATCCGTTAGAACTAATAAACAAATTTAGCAATGTTACAAAAAAATAAACTCTCATGTGTATGGTAAAATATTCGACAGTGGTGCCATGACCATTCAAGAGGGAAAGGATTCTTTTCAACTAATGGTGTTGGAAAACTGGATATCCACATGCAAAAAAGAATGAAGTTTTAGACTCAATGTGTACCACATACAAAATGACTCAAAATGGATCACAGGCTTTACCTAAAGAACTAGAACTATGAAACTTATAGAAGAATACATAGGAGAAAGCTTCACTACATTGGATTTGGCAATGATTTATTGGATATAACATCAAAAGCAAGGCAACAAAAGAAAAAAATTGGTAAGTTGGATTTTATCAAAATTAAAAATATTTGTGCATCAAGGACATAATCAAGAGTAAAAAGGTAATCCATAGAATGGGAGAAGATCCCTGCATATATCTAATAAAGTATTAATATCAAGAATATAGAGAGAGTTCCTACAATTCAACAACAAAAAACACACAAACTGATTAAGAAATAGTCAAAGGACTGAACAGGCATTTCTCTAAAGAAATGACCAACTAGTGTTTGAAAAGATGCTCAACACTGGTAACTGATAACTGATAGGGAAATACAAATCAAAACCACAATGAGATACCACTTCATACCCATTAGGGTGGCTATTACCAAGAACAAACCAAAAAAACCCCTAGAAAATAACAAGTTTTGGTGAGGACATGGAATAACGGGAACCTTTGTGCACAGCTGGTGGGAATATAAGATGGTGTAGCCGCTGTAGAAAACAGTATGGTAGTTTCTCCGAAAATCAAACATAGGCTTACCTAACACTATCCAGCAGTTCCACTTCTGGAATCTCAAAATAAGAGAAAGCAGGGACTCCTATGGCTATCTGTATACACGTTCACAGCAACATTGTTCATAAGAGCCAAAAGGCGAAGCAACCTAAGCATCCATTGACAGATGGATAGACAAAAAGTGGTATATTCATACAGAATGTTATTCAGCCTTAATAATGAAAGTTTGACATTGAAAATACTGTGCTAAGGGTGAGCCAGTCACAAAGGACCAGGTATTGCCTGATTCTATTTATATGAGGTCCCTAGAGTGGGTTACTGGTTCATGGGGAAGGAGTTACAGCCTGGGAACATGGAAATGTCCTGGAGGTGGATGGCAGCGATGGATGTAAAACAGCATGAAAATACTTAATGCCACTGCATTGTACACTTATAAATAGTTAAAATGGTAAATTTTGTTATGTAGGTTTTTCCACCAACAACAAAAATAAAAACAGCAACACCTATATATTCCAAAGTGTTTCACTGTAGCATGAACAAGCCTCCCTCGTTCATTTGGAGATTTCCTTGAAGGCTCCATCTGCCCCAGGTCATTTGTGTATCTTGACATAGTGCCTGGCTTGAACTGAGTTCAAGCCCCTGAGACATAAGGTTCAAAAGTTATCAAAAGAACAAGCAAAGAAACAACTCTTGGATACCTATTATGCAACAGGCAGTGTATTCTGTAGTAATAACACACAATGAAGACAAAGTGTTAGCATAAAATTAGCAGTTAGCACGACTTTCCATAAGCTATGGTGAGGGCCAGGTGGGATCCGTGTTCAGGGTGTGGAAGTAGAGGAGCAAATCTTCTCTGCTCTGAGAAATGCCAAAGATAGCTACAGTAAGTACAACTTTTCAAAGGTTTGTCAAAGTATTGCAGATTTCATATTTTTAAGATAAAAATTACAAAGTTGTAATAGTTTTACTGTCTATAAAACAACTTCTAACTGCTGATAAATATCTACTCCATTAAAGTGTTATAAAAACACCCAATGGAAATACTGGAGATGAGTGAGTACCAATTAGGAACAGACACAATCAAAACATTTTTTTTAATTTTTTTATTATGTTATGTTAATCACCATACATTACATCATTAGTTTTTGATGTAGTGTTCCATGATTCATTGTTTGCGCATAACACCCAGTGCTCCATGCAGAACGTGCCCTCTTTAATACCCATCACCAGGCTAACCCATCCTCCCACCCCCCTCCCCTCTAGAAACCTCAGTTTGTTTTTCAGAGTCCATCGACTCTCATGGTTTGTCTCCCCTTCCGATTCCCCCCTTCATTTTTCCCCTCCTGCTATCTTCTTCTGAATATTATGCAGCCATCAAAAGGAATGAAATCTTGCCATTTGCAACGACGTGGATGGAACTGGAGGGTATTACGTTGAGCGAAATAAGTCAAACAGAGAAAGACATGTATCATATGACCTCACTGATATGAGGAAATCTTAATCTCAGGAAACAAACTGAGGGTTGCTAGAGTGGTGGGGGTTGGGAGGGATGGGGTGCTTGGGTGATAGGCATTGGGTAGGGTATGTGCTATGGTGAGCACTGTGAATCGTGCAAGACTGTTGAATCACAGACCTGTACCTCTGAAACAAATAATACATTATATGTTAAAAAAAAGAAACAAAACATTTGTTTAAAGTTTTCTTGCATTTGCACATCTAACTGATTGCTATGGCAACTCAGTTATCTTGAGATACTCAAAAATTAGATTAAAACACCATAATGTTGAAAGCCTACATTTCCACTTTTATTAATTATACTTTTAACAAAAAGATGACAACTGTTGGAGATTAATATTTTTTTTAAAAAGACAATATTAGAAGATGTTGTTCATAGGTAAACAATCTTCAAGACCAATGAATTCAGGAAAAGAAATGAGGAAAAATGGCCACCCCCAAACTCTCATCACCCTAAACAGCTGTCTGTCCCGTGGAATGAGGGCACAGAGGGGCCGGGGAAGTAATTACAAACTAAGTATTAAAATGTGACATGTGACATGTGACTTCTGAAAATTAGAAAGTAGGTAAGAGGAAATCATCACAGCTTTTAAAACTTCCCACTGTAGCATGAACTCTTCAAGAGCACTTGAATCCAAAACAGCAACACGGATTTAGGATGTTGCGGGTACCGCTAAGAACACCTTCTGAGAACCACTCATGATGGCGAATCCCCAGCATCTCACAGATTCTTGGGGCTGGAGTAAGGAGACCAGCAACCAGCAATAAAGAAAGCACTGCAGCGAGGGGAGAAGCAAAGGGGCACAAAGCCTCGCACGAGCATGCCTGACCGCCTCACGGCCCAGGACACGCAGCAATCGGGAGGCCACAAGCATAAGGTGTTTCCAGCTCAGAATGACGGGGCTCAGCAGTCTCCGGCAACGGGCTGCCGCCAAGCAGATCACAAATTTCCTGCCTGGTATTTAGAGCAGAAACAGCTCAGGGAGGACTCACCAGTCACCTTAAAACTCACGTTAGGAGGGTTTATAAACTTTGGACTCCTTTCCAAGTGGGAGGTAAAATGTATCAAACCGCTCAGCTTTCCTAAAACACGGGGCAATTGTAGGACTTGTATGTTTTCCGTTCTGAACAGTTCAGCATTCATCTCGTCCGATCAGGCATGTCTGGAGGTTTCAGCATAAGCGAGAGAGACTGCAGGATAGCGAGTTAAGCTTGTGGTAACAACACCTGCATCTTTATGTGGGCAATGGACAACTCCATCGAACTACTACCCTGTCTTTGACCAGCATTCCATTTGCTGCCTGCAAACTTTTATTTACTTGACATGGAGATCCTCTGAGAAGCAGCTTTTCCAGTCTAGTGAACGTTTAATTATCACCAAAAGTTAAGGCGTTTTCCAGTAAGTTTGGCTGCAGAAACCAGAAGTGGATCCATAAGGTGTCAGCTTCTAACAAAACCACCTCCAAGCCTCAGTGGCTCTTTGAATACAAAAGTCTGTTCCTGACTCACAGCTGTCCCCAGGAGCCAGGCCCCTCCACTGTCATCCCCACCTTCCCCGCCACCTCAGCATCCTCCCCAGTTAGCCATCCTCGGGGTCCTCACGAGCCAGGCCTGAGGTCACACTGCTGTCCATATCTTAGCTGAAGTCGAGACACAGGACCTCACCTGATGCCACAGGATGGTAGGAAATGAGCTCAGCTGTGGGTCTGGGGCACAATTCATAAATGTGTATTTATGATAAACTTAGGCAATTTATCTCTTCATAGATCAACATTTTCATTTCCTGAGTTTATTTCCCATGGGAACAGGACAAGGAGGGATAGGTGTCCTCCACTGTCCCGTCTGCCCTCCGGGCTCGTGTGCTGGGCACACAAGTGGGCCAGAACCCCCTACAGTACATGTTTGCCTTCAGCCCTCATTGCTCTCCCTTCCGCCGCCCTCTCCTCCCACTTCAGACTCTGCCATGACACAACCCCGCCCCTATTCCCACATCACTTCCAGCTTGTCCAGGGCCCCAGCCCTGTTCAAAATGGGTGGGTCCACTGTTTCATGGTCTCCAGGACAACCCAGCGAGCTGATAATACAATGAATGCTGAAGTCTCGGTGGGAAAGAGTGAAGTGTTTCTCACAAAACGGTCCCTAAATCCAGTGCATCATAATCACTGGAGGTGTTTGTTAAAAATGCAAAATCTAAACCAGCCACTAGGAATTAGAACCTCCAAGAGACAAATGAAATCAACATTTTAAGAAACGCCTCCAGGTGACTCTACTACACCTCACATTTTAAGAACTAAAGGCTTAGCCCTATGTCTTCCCAGATAACATATCCGGGTCATTACAGTGAGTCTGTGTGTGTGTGTCAACGATGACATGAGGGAAGAAACGGAGCATACTGGCCCCGAATATCACGGCTGTTGCTGCAGTTGTTTTTCTTTAGGGAAAGCACCTGATCCTCAGCTACTTAGTCTACAAATGGTAACAATACTATCTCACCAGTTAATGCCTAAAAGCATTAAATGTTTATTACCTATAGGATTGAATATTAATCTGTTTAAAAATTGTGAACTGACAAAAATCTGCTATTTTCACTGAGAAGATAACCTGAAAGGTGACAAAATCAATAGGAAGACAAGCAGATAAAAGTTCCAAGTTTCAACATCTATTTGCTTTTGTCTCTAAATTTCGAACATCTGAGGAGGTCACTCAGCGCCCTTTGTCCAACCAACGGCCTCTAACGCATTCCAATCACACCACACACCACAGCCTTCCTGCGGCCACATCACACCTTCACGGCTCCTCCACACGGTCTTGTGTTACCCTACTTATCCTGTATGTGGAACCTGGCTTAGTTTACTTTACTCTAAAATTCCCCAACAAAACGCCATTTTATACCTTTTACAAAGGCCTGTTTCCCATCCCACTATTTGCAAACATCCCCTGGATTTATTCCACAGAATTAGCTCCCCACTTCACATATTTCTGGAGCATGTGTGTGTGTGTACACACACACACACACACATATATATATAACATATATGTTATGCTGATTTCAACATATTTTAGTAGGCAGAGCAAAAATATTTTTCTTACATGCCAAGGTCTATCGATTGGGAGTGGCTGAACGGGGTACTGGAGCACGAGGGAGGTGATCTTCCATACTTAAGGGTGTCAGGGAAGAGCCAAGGTTGACTAGACATCTGTTCTGCGAGTGGGGCTGAGAAAGGCCAGTGGTGCTAACTCCTACACAGAACAATTCACACCCACAGGGCTCACAGCCAATTAGAATAGGGGACACCATAACACTGCAGCAAGCCTGCATTTAAATTCACAATATAAAACCTACTGTTAGTGATGTCTGTGCTCAAAGGATACTTGAATTGTTTGTTATGATTAAACCACAAGAGTTTCATTTGCTTCTCTCAGGCCTTCATTCTCTTGGTCCATGGATTTCAAGTGGATTTTTGAAAGATCACTTCGTGACGGCAAATGCAATGTTCAAAGCGTCTCTGGTTGCCTTCACAGGGCTGTTCACATGCCAGATGTACTGAGGATAGCAGAAGCTAAATAAATAAGAGACTTAGCAAGTTCAGGTTTCTCTGTTTTCCCAGGTATCAGCTGTTCAACAAAAACCATCATTAAAGAAGCAGTACCAGTTCATAAGAAGAGTAAAACCAATGAGACAGCTGGTCAAAGAAAGATGTGAATGTTCAATGTTAATACAAATGCCGCAAGCGGTCAGAGAAACTGCAAATCAAGGGACCAAGGACTTAAAGTATGAAATTTTTTGGAAACTCTGGAGGATTTGTTACAAGGATGGAGATTCTTCCTCCACATTTCTGTCAGGCATATATACTTCTGTGAAGAGAGTAATGTCTAGAGGAAGACATTAGATTTTTAATTTTTCTATATTTTGTATTATATATTAATTTCATATACTTATTAACCATCTAGGAAATATCAGATAGGCTTCAACTGACATTAAACAAAGTAGGTGCACTGTTTTTGTCACAGAACCTTAACACTGTCCAACTCACAACATCCAAGAAGCAAACATCTCGAGTTCTGTGACAGCACTAAATGTGAACTCTGCTCCTAATACAAAATTTAAAATGAGCCAAGATGTCCACTCAACTTCTTTACAAATAAACTGGACACCCATAAAAAACAGCAGACTACAGATAGCAGTCAGTACTACAATAAAGTGAGAAAGGTTTCCCATAGCGTCCAGGTGTCTTCATGATTGGAATTAATGACTCCTTAAAAAATAATAGAAAATAAAACTAAATTATAAAGAGAAAATAATACCTGCCTTCACAGTTTAGAATATATGTAAATGCACATATATTTAAAAAATATGATACTCAGGATACCTAGCTAGAAAAAACAAAACACAAGATTAAACAGCTTTTTAACTTAGGTACATGTCTGATAGAAAACACCATTTGGTGGAAAAGTCATTTAACAAAGATATTTCCTGTAAGTGACACCCTAGTGACTAGGAACTAAGTTCTAGAGATACAAAAACCACAAGGCAAAGGCCAACACCCTGTCACTGGTTGGGGGAGTGACGTTCGAGGCAGCTGTCCAGGTGCAGCAGGAGGGACCCATTTCTCCCCAGCAGCACCTGGATTTCTGAGGAGGAACACCAGTGACTGAGGGGTCAAAGAGGAAAGGGAAGGAGGCAGTCGAGAATACCAAAGTGCAGTGAAGAAATGGGCTTCCTGCTGCCGGCTTCAGGACTTTGGCAGGACCGCCCACAGACCTCTGGATATGCCCCACTTGATGCCACACCAGGCCCAGTGGCACCCCAAAGCTCCAGCTGCCAAGCCCACAACACCCCCCACTCTGCCACCAGCTAAGTGCATCCACAAGAGCTAGCTGTTACAGGAGAAACCACAAACGAGCTACAGTGCCACCTTCCATAATAGAAAAGAAAGGTTTCTAATGGCCAGTCTGTTGAACTGTAAGATCCAAAGTAAACACAAAACCTTAATTAGGGAAAGTGACTGCTACTTCAAATGCTAAAGCAGAAGTGCATGTCTTCAAACACCATAAACAATCAAGGAAATATGGTATCACAAAAAGAAAATAATTCTCCGGGGCGCCTGGGTGGCTCAGTCGTTAAGTGTCTGCCTTCGGCTCAGGTCATGATCCCAGGGCCCTGGGATCGAGTCCCACATTGGGTTCCCTGCTCAATGGGAAGCCTGTTTCTTCCTCTTCCACTCCCCCTGCTTGTGCTCCTGCTCTCGCTATCTCTCTAATAAATAAAATCTTTAAAAAAAAAGAAAAGAAAAGAATTCTCCAGCAACCAAACTCAGAGGCACAGAATACCACACTCTAACTGATAAAGAATTCGAAATAGTTGTCATGAAGAAATTCAACAAGCTACAAGCAAACTCAGAAAGGCCATTCAGTGAACTCAGGAACAAAATTAATGAACACAGTAGTTCTTTACCAAAGAGATTAAAATTATAAGGAAGAACCAAACAAATACTAGAACTGAAGAATTCAATAAATGAGATGGAGAATGAAGCATCAGTAACTGGGCAGACCAGACAGAAGAGAGAATAAGTGACTTGGAGTATAGGAATAGAAAAATAATTCAGTTCTATGAGGAGGGAAAACTAAGATTTTAGAATAGTGAAGAAACCCAGCAAGAGCTATCAGTTTCAATCCAAAAGTTCAAAAAGGCAAATATAAAAGTAACTGGTGTACCAGAAGGAGAAAAGGGGGAGAAGGGAACAGTCTACTTAAAGAAATAATAGCTGGGAACTTCCCAAACCTGGGAAGAAATTGGTAAGAGTCCACAAAACGATTACAACAGCCTATTATCTCAATGCAAAAAAAATCTTTTCCAGTACACATTATAATGAAACTGTCAAAAATCAATGATAAAGAACCTCACAGGCAGCCAGGGAAAGGAAAGTAACCTTGCAAAGGAACCCTATTAGGCTCTCAGCAGATTTCTCAGCAGAAACTCTGCAGGCCTGGAAAGAGTAGAATGACATGTTCAAAGTGTTGAAAGATCACAACTGCCAGCCAAATACACTTTGCCTGGCAAAATTCCCCTTCAGATATGAAGGAGAGATTAAGGATTTCCCAGATAGGGCGCCTGGGTGGCTCAGTCGTTAAGTGTCTGCCTTCGGCTCAGGTCATGATCCCGGGGTCCTGGGATCGAGCCCCGCATCGGGCTCCCTGCTCGGCAGGAAGCCTGCTTCTCCCTTACCCACTCCCTCTGCTTGTGTTCCTTCTCTCACTGTGTCTCTCTCTGTCAAATAAATAAAATCTTAAAAAAAAAAAAAAAAAAGGACTTCCCAGATAAACAAAAGCTAAAGCAAGGTTACTACCACAAGGCTTGACTTGCGAGAAATGCTAAAAGGAATTATTCGAGCTATAATGAAAAGATGCTAATCAGTGACACAAAAACACACTCTACTCTGCTACAGAGTTAGAAAACGGTAACTCTACATTAGAACAGCACTGTTGCCACTTAACTATGGTATAAAGGTTAAAGGAAAAGAGTATTAAAACCTACAGCTACTATAATTTAACAAATTCACAGCATAAAATCAGTGAACTGTGACATTAAAAACATAAAAGGGTGGAGCTTTTATACAGGAATGAAGAGAAGCTGCTTTCAGCATAAAATGACCTATTTTTATCTCTGAGATGTTTTACATAAACCTCATGGTAACCACAAAACAAAAATCTAGACTCGATTCACAAAACATAAAAAAAAGGGGGGGGGGGCACTGAGCAAATCACCATGAAAAATAACCAGAAGGCAAACAGTAAGTTGGCAGTTGCAAGTCCTTACATATCAATAATCACTACAAAGTAAGTGGACTGAATTATTCAATCAAAAGGTGCAGAGTGACTCAATGGATTAAAAAAAAAAAACAAGACCCAAGTTTATGTTGCCTACAGAGGCTCATTTCAGCTCTCAACACATACCGGCTCAAAGTAAACAGATGGAAGAAGATATTCCATGCAAATGGAAATCTAAAAAAAGTAAGGGTAGCCATATTTATATCAAAGAAAATAGACTTCAAGCCACTAACACTAACAAGAGACAAAGAAGGCCGTCATATAATGATAAAGGGTTTGATAAACCAAGAAGATAAAACAATCGGAAACATATATGCACTCACCATTGGGACACCTAAATATAGTAAGCAAATACTGAGAGGTATGAAGGGAGAAACAGACAGCACTACAAAAATACTAGTGAACTTCAATGCTCCACTGTAAGCAGTAGATAGATGATCCAGACAGAAAATCAACAAAGAAACACTGGAATTGAACCCCTTCTTAGACTAAATGGCTTAATTGACATATATACATCCTTCCACCCAACAGCAGCAGAAAACACATTCTTCTCAAGTGCACATGAAACATTCTCTAGGATAGATCCTATGATAGGACACAAAATAAATCTTGGCAAATTTAAGGAGATTGAAATCATACCAAGGATCTTTTCTGACCACAATGGTATGAACTAGGAATCAATAAGAGAAAAGCTGAGGGGTACGTGGCTGGCTCAGTCAGTGGAGCGTGCCACTCTTGATGCTGGGGTTGTGGGTTTGAGCCCTATGTTGGGTGTGGAGCCTACTTTAAAAAAAATTTTTTTTTTTTTAAATAAGAGAAAAAGTGAAAATTCTACAAATATGTGGAAACTAAGCAACACACTTCTGAACAACCATTGGGTCAAAGGAAAAATCAAAAGGGAAATAAAAAGTTATCTTGAAACAAAGGAAAAAGGAAATATATCAAATCCTATGGGATGCTGCAAAGGCAGTTCTGAGAAGAAAGTTTATAGTGATAAATGCATATATTAAGAAATTGGAAAGATCTCAAACAAAAAACCTGACTTTACACCTCAAGGAACTAGAAAAAGAAGAACAAACTAAGTCCAAAGTTAGAAGAAAGAGGATAATAATGATCCCAGCAGAAATAAATTAAATACAGACCAGAAAAACAATGGAAAGGATCAATGAAATTAAGATCTGGTTTTTCAAAAAGATAAACAAAATTGACAAACCCTTTGCTAGACTAGTTAAAAAAGAAAGAAGACTCAAATAAATAAAATTAAAAATCAACTGATACTACAGAAATATACAGGATCTTAACAGACTATATAAATAATTATATGCCAACAAATATAACCTACAAGAAGTGGATGAATTTCTAGTAACACAACATATACAAAGACTGAATAAAGAGAGGAGAAAATCTGAACAGACCAATAACTAGTAAAGTAATTGAATCAGTAATCAAAAACCTAACACAGAAAACTCTAGGACCAGATGGCTTCACTGGTGAATTCAACCAAATATTTAAAGAAGAGTTAATGCATTCAAAAAAAAAAAAACAAACCATCCCCCCCCCCCCCAAAAATGAAGAGCGGGGAACACCTCCAAGTTTATTCTAGGATGCCAATATTACCATGTAACCAAAGCCAGAAAAGAACACTACAAGAATGTAAAATTATAGACCAACATCCCTGATGAATATAGATGCAAAAAATGTCAACAAAATATTGGCAAACACATTAAAAAGTTCAAAACACATAATAATGATCATACACCATGACCAAGTGGGATTTATCCCTGGGA